TTTCCTGTAAATCACATGAGACTGGGAGGTATGGGGGGAGGAGCTACCAGGATATAAGAGGAGAACACGGGAGAGAGAGAAGAAGAAGAGATTTAAGAGGAGAACCATGAGAGAGGAGAGTGCTGCGAGAGGAGCAGAGAGAAGGCCAGGGAAGTAAGAAAGACAGGGAAAAGAAAGACATGGAAAAGTAAGAGAAGGAAAAGGAAAAATAAAGAAGCATGCGCTGGCGTCAAGTTGTCTCAAGCCCCTCATTTCATCCTCAGCCCTTCTCTTTTCATGCCTAAGAATCCCGCGGGTCGGGACATTCAGCTATGCTCATTTTGTAGAACAGCAGAAAGCACCACCAGAAAAGGATGCTGCCATTACAGAGAGGCAGGAAACTGCGCAATCACTAGCGCAGTTCCAACTGGCACTTGAAAATGACAAGCACCTAACCCCTTGCCAACATGGCTCTGTGATTTCCAGCTACTAGGCATCTCATCTGATGAACTGGGACTTTGGAAGGGCTCATTTCACATTCTCGAAATTTTCTTCTCAGAAGTGGCTCCAGAAATCTAAATATCCTAGTAGACATGGAGGTTTTAGATGTTGCTATTATTCCCTGTCCCCTTTCTTCCCCTATTTTCTTTGCAGCTGGAGTAATAATCTTGTCTAGAGCGTGAATTTAGAGTTCACATCTGACATACATGGAAAAGAACCTCGATGTTTGGTTAACTTGATAAATATACATTAGCCTAGCAATTCCCTACACTAAAAACATTGTGATACTATGCAAAAACATTTGGTAATACTGGAATAAGTGATGATATGCACGGGTAGGGCAGTTCAGTGGGAGCGGAGCAAGATTTATCATGCAAATTCCCAGTCACCTTTCACGTCTTATCCCAGAGATGACACACAGATCACATGGGCTGCATTTGGCCTGCATACAGCATGTGTTGTGATGTGGGTGTTTTTTTTTTTGTGTGTGTAATATAAAATGATTGCAACTATTTAAGCATCTAAAGGTTTCACACAAAACCTGAGTTTCCAGATTATTGCAAAAATGTATGATGTGGCAACACAAGCCACCACATTTCCACATGGTAAGTGGACTGGAGCTGACTGTCATTTCTCTCTAACTGGACATGTCCCCACTGCCACACAGCTTCCTATTAGCTTATACCACCCACTTCATTGCACTGTGTCATCCCTGCCCACCCTAGGGGTTTCTTAGAGGGACTTAAGGGTTCTGGGTCCCTCATGACCCAAACAGCTTCACTTTAATCCATTTCATCTGTTGCCCTCCTAAATGAGATTTTCTATAAGGGGATTTCTGCTAGCAATAGTTTCATCAATGAAAGCAAAGTACATCTACCAGTACTGTTATTTTTTGCATAGCCCACTAGTGTTTCTTGAAGTTTATGTCATTTTTGCTAGTCTGGGAAGATATAGCGGGAGAGGACCCTGCTTGTCACATGGACTGTCTACTTACGGTTTAGTAAGGAGGTCAAATAGACTTTCCAAGTAGAGGAAGCACATACCTAGGCCTAGGGCAAAGCCAGGTTTCTAACAGGACCTTTGACCGCAGTTAGAAACTTCCTGTGTCTGGTGTTCAACCACTCAAGTTACCATAGCCAGGTGCTCCAAGGCTCTGGGGAGTCCATTCTCTGAAGCTGATGAGTTTCTGAAGCGGGAGATATAACTGAAGAGGACCGAGGGCTACTCAGAAGTTCAGGATGTATAGCAAGGTTTGTGTTTGAAAACCTGGTAAGAGAATGTGATATGTTATTAGATATGGAGAAACGGGCTGGTGGTGCACTGTGCACTAAGGAAGGAGGAAATAGTTAAGCATTGTCTGAATTTTTAATTTGCTCTGTTGGCTGTGACCAACACAAACCACAGTCAAGGGAAGGGGCTTTGACTTTTATGATGTGCCTCTACTGGGGGGGGGGGTCAGGGGTTATCCTCTTTCTGAAGTTTTCTCCCCAGAAATAAGTTTTATAACGCTCACATGGAAGTTATTGATCTTTACACCACCTCGATGTTCCACCCCGGTTTACTTGGTCACTGTGGTTGCCTTTCAGAAGCACAGTGAAGTTGGATCTGATCCTCATCTAAGCCAGTTATATCCTTTTACAGCATGATCTGTCAGGCAAGAATTTCAGAGAGACTTGATGGAAGGGTACTTGATGGAAACCCCCCACATAAGAAACTTGTAGATTGTGAAAAATAGATGGGATTTTAAGACATTTATCTTTTCCTATTTACACTAATAGCAATTTTTTGTCAAAATTAAAAATCTATGAAAAAATATAATGTATAAAATGAAAGTTCTCTGTAACTTTATCCCGTGTGATAATCATTAAGAACACATTTAAGGGCCTCCCCGGTGGCGCAGCGGTTGAGCACTGGGCTGCGAAGCTGCCCGCAGTTTCTGCAGCACTGGTTCGATCCCTGGCCAATGGACGAGGGTCCCACATGGTGCGCAGACCTCTCCTGCCACCTGCTGCTCCCCTCAGCAGTGTACGTCGTCAGTCGGCCTGCTCTGCTCTCCCTTCTGGCTCTGGTGGATTCTCTCACCCTCCCGCGCTTCTGACTGTACCCAGTGTTTGTATAAATAAATAAATAAATCTTTAAAGAAAAAAAAAAAAAAACACATTTAAGATAATTATTTTACAAAAACAATTATATAATACTGTTTTGTAACTTTTTGGTTTTACTTAGCATGCCTTTGGTATCTATTAGCTTTTAGTTTTTAAAATGATCGGACAGATAGAAATTTAAATTCCCAAAAGTTGAACATTTCAGTTTACCAATTTAAATAAATTATGTTTCTTTAAATATATGTTTAAATATTTCTAAATGAATAGCTATTAAGAATTTAAGTTGCTGGGCCTCCCCGGTGGCACAGCAGTTGAGCGCTGGGTTGACAAGCTGCCCGCAGCCTCTGCAGCACGAGTTCAATCCCCGGCTGTTCCCCAGCCACCTGAGAAGGGTCCCACATGGCGCGCAGACCTCTCCTGTCGCCCGCTGCTCCCCTCAGCAGTGTACTTCGGTCCTTCTGCCTGCTCCGCTCCCCGCTCTGGCTCTGGTGAATTCTTTCATCCTCCCACAATTCTGACTGTACCCAGTGCTTGTATAAATAAATAAAAATAAATCTTTAAAAAAAAGAAAAGAATTTAAGTTGCTGGATCAAAGAGTATGGACATAATAATTTTAATAGATGTTGCCTTCCAAAACCAACAGTGCCTGTATTTTTACACACTTTACAATCCTGAATATTACAAATCTTTTTGGTAATCTGAAAGATTTTAAAAATCTCATTTTAAATTTTTTAATTATGAACATGAGCGCATTTTCATATTCTTTATTGCCTATTGACATTTTTATTTAAGTATGCTGTTAATTTTTCCATTGGCTTTGTCACAATTACCTTATTTCTAAAGAGGTTTTATCATATTAAGAAAATCAGCCCTGTGTCTTGTAGATGTGTGGCATATTTTACAGTTTCTATTTTCATTTTTTCATTAAAAAATTCTAAATTTTTACACCACCAGTCCCACTTATCTTTTCCTTTACCGCTTTTTAGTCTTTGCGGTTTAATACCACGCTTGGAAAGGCCTCCCTACTCTACCATAGCAATGGCTTCCCTGTCTGTCTCCCTGCTTCTGCCCTTCCCCAACCCTCCTCACAAGTTTATTTTTAACACAGCAGTCAGAGTGTTTGCAGTACCTAAGTCTGATCATATTACTCTTCTGCTCAAACCTCTCTTCTTTCTACTCTCAATACCCTTAAGCTCTAGACACACAGCCTTCCCATCCCTAGGATATTTTAAACACGCTCCACTTCAGGTCTTTGCATTTGCTATTACTCTTCCTAAAATATCTTTTCCTCACTTTCAGGACCTCCACCTAATCCACTCACTCATCTCCCTCAATCTTTGCTCAAATGTCAACTTATCAGTGAGGTCCTTTGTGACCACTCTATTTAAAACTGCATTTACTTCATTCTCGCTCCAAACTCTGTATGTCTATTTTCTACATAGTATGAATATCCACGTTCTAATATACCACTCTTCTTGTTTGTTCATTGTCTGCCTTTCCAACACATATACTTGTAATATCCACGAAGCCAAGGGAATTGTTTTTGCTTTAAACTGTAGTTTTAGCTTCTCCTGTGCTTGGCATAATAAGTAAATAATCAATTTTGTGTGAGAAGGGAAGAGAGGGAGAAAGAAAACTAAGCATTCTCACCCATCAAATTGGCAAAGATCAAAATATAAATAGTGTGTTGATAAACATAAGCAAAATCAGCTCGTGGGTTCTATGACTGGTAATCTGACATGAACAATAGTACAAAGTCCCTATCTGTGCTCTAGTAATTCTGTTTCAGGAATATATATTATAAGAATATAGTAAGAGAGATATATGTTCATAGTAATTTATTGCAGCAGCCTTTGAAAAAGAAACGATTGGAAACAACCTATTAAAATATGTCACATACAATACTATGCAGTTTTTTTAGACGGAACAAAATCGAGGAAGCCTTTCATATATTATCTTGGAATTCAACTGTTAGAAAGAAAAAAAAGCAAGGCGTGGAAATGCTACTAGTTGTGTAGTGGGGCGGGGAGCGAGGGGATTGAGGGTACTCCTATGGCTTAACAATTCATGTAGGGAATGCTTCATATTGGCTGTCAAAACCAGGCATTGGGGGGACATTTGTTCTTTTCAAATATAGAACCATGTAGGTCCATTACTTGTATAGCTTATTTAACAATTACAACCACCAAATCGTGAGCCGTAAGGAAAAGTTCTTTCAAAATCGGCAAAGACGCGCTGGACGTAGCTGCAATGAACCAAGCTCGCGCGAGCCGGGTCCCGCACCCGCTGGCGGGGAAGCGAGTCGCGCGCCGCCACCACCGAGGCGCGGCGTCCTAGAGTGGCCGGAAGAGCCCGGCTGGCGCGCGCGCCGATTGGTGGGCTGAGTGCGGCCTTTGTTCCGGGCCGCCCCGAGGACGCCAGCGCCCCGCAGGAACGCGAGTGCGCCTCCGGCTCCCAGAGTGAAGGAGAGGAGGGGCCGGACTTCGACGCGGTCATCTGCAAGCCCCTCCGCACACCTCACCGCGCGGGCGGGCCGCCTTCCCCAGCTTTCGACCGACCTACGAGAGAGAACTTGGGCCGACCTTCCGGGAGTCAACCGGGGGAAAGGGACACTGGTTTCAAGTTGGTCAGCCAGGGCACCCATCTAACATTACTGGTTGGCGAACGTACCCCACAACCACTGCCAGGCTAGGGGCTTTGCGTACATTTATTTAATCTACACAACCCTATGAGGAACATGAGAATTTTACAAATTTGGAACTATAGCTCCAGGTAACGTGGTCTTATATTACCGTAGAGCCCAGATTCAAATCCAGGATCCTGCTTCAGAGTTCTTTTTTAAGTCTCCTACGAGATTTTTTCTACTGCCTTAGTGCATGTCACCATAGCTGCTTTTTTCATTTCTGTATGGTAAATTTTTCTCTGAAACAAGATTCTAAGAGACTCTTCTTGAATCAAACCCAGATAAAAGATTAATCGCCTGAAAAACAGCCAGAACACAGCCAGAATGGCCACAGACTTGGAACCTGAGGAACAAAAAGGACTTTTGATAGTTAAAGCAGAAGCCCTTTACCTGGGACAGGACTCCATGTTACAAAAGCACAGGAGGGAACTCTTCAGACAGCACTTCAGAAAGCTCTGCTATCGTGATGCACCTGGACCCCGGGAAGCTCTGACCCAGCTCTGGGAGCTTTGTCGCCAGTGGCTGAGGCCAGAATGCCACACCAAGGAGCAGATCTTAGACCTGCTGGTGCTGGAACAGTTCGTGAGCATTCTTCCTAGGGACCTGCAAGCTTGGGTGCAAGCGCACCATCCAGAGACAGGGGAGGAGGCAGTGAGTGTGCTGGAGGAGCTGGAGCGAGAACTTGATGAACCCCAAAAGCAGGTGGGAAGGGGGTGGTAATTTGGCTATGAAATATCAGGGTATATGCAAAGAATCAAAGCAAAACTAGAGAAGACCAAGGCTTAGGGCGGACCCTCATTGCTAATGTCAAATAACTTAAGGTGGCCGAGTAGAGACACTATGCTATGTCATTTTGGAAGGCTAGGATGAGTTGAGAAATTAGAGGTAGACAAATAGGTATAAGTGAAAAAGAATTTTCTAATATTCATGGCTACCTATAAGTAAAAGGGCCAATTTATAATAACATATCCCTTTCCATAAGAGTATTTAAGTTGAGTTTTAAGTACGTCAAGGATATTACAGAACAGCACTATCCAGTAGAAATAAGGCATATATGTAATTAAAATTTTCTTGCAGCCACATTTAAAAAGTAAAAAGTGATGTATTTTAACTCAAAATATGTAATCGTGTGATATAAAACATGAGGTATTTTACTTTTCTTACTCAGTTTGCAAAATTTGGTATTTTACACCTTGCATATCTCATTTTGTACTAGTCACATTCAAGAGCTCAAAAACCACATGCGGATAGTGGCTGTCATATTGGACAACATAGTTACAGGAGAAACATGGATGATTTTTAATGTATTTCTCAAGACTATGATCCAGGACCTCAGCAGAGCTATTTCACTCTCTAGTGTCCTGAACTAGAGAGACTAATTTGTCTCTTCTTCCTTAGTCACTATTGCCATTTACAACTGAATGAGAATTTGTTCCCTGTAAAGAGTCCCTGTTCCATGGCAGATGCTTCTTTTGGTCTTTTCTCCGAAATTCTTTCAGTTCTACCTTACAGGCACAGTCATACCTCACTGTTCCCAGGTGCCAGACAATGCAGAGAGACAGGACACACTCTTGGACAAGACACCCCCCTTAGGAAGACCACACAAGTCACTGACAGTCCAGCTTCATCCCGAGAAGATCCAGCAGGAGCAGAAATCTGGGAAGCCCCAAAGGCATGGTAAGAAGCAGGAATCATGAATGCATGAAGGAGAAGCTTCTGTCATCATCTCCTTTTCAAGTTTTCCTGCTTGTCCACCACTTCACTCAAGTGGGCCCCTTCCCACATTTACCCCATCATGGAGTTATATTTTAGTTTCTCATTAGACTTAAAAGCTGCTCTTGGTCCTAAGAGGTATAGAAGGAATTTAAATAATACCTTGTACTTCTCTCAGTCATTATCTGATGATTCTAGATAGAAATTCTCTTAAATTTCCATTTTCAACAGGAGAATTTATGACTCTCTGTAGTAGTCTTCTAGAGCTGCCAGAACAGAAAACCACAAACTGAGTGGCTTAAATAAAAAAATTTATTTTCTCTGGAGGCTGCACAGTCCAAGATCTAGGTGTCTGCAGGGTTGGTTTCTGACACAGCCCCTCTCCTTGGCTTGCAGGCCCATTGAGTCTTCACATGGCCTTTTTTTTTTTTTTTAATAGAGGCATGTTTTTATTTATTTATTTTATTTGTTTGTTTTTTTGTTTGTTTTGTTTTTACATGCACTGGGTACAGTCAGAAGCATGGGAGGGTGAGAGAATTCACCAGAGCCAGAGTGGGGAGCAGAGCAGGCAGAAGGACCGAAGGACACTGCTGAGGGGAGCAGCGGGCGGCAGGAGAGGTCTGCACGCCATGTGGGACCCTCCTCCGGTGGCCGGGGAGCAGCCGGGGATCGAACCGGCGCCGCAGAGGCCGCGGGCAGCTTCGCAACCCAGAGCTCAACCGCTGCGCCACCGGGGAGGCCCCACATGGCCTTTTCTCTGTGCGTGTGACCGCCGATTGTAGGGAGGAAGTTAAGGCTTAAGGAAGATGAGGCAGGAAGTAGACGTGGTGATGACAATGAGGAAGACTCACCTGGGCCACAGCCACTGTTTTCCAAACCCAGCCCAGGCACTCAAATGTTCTCATACCTTTTTACTGCTGCTTGCCTCATGCCAAGTGAACCACTGACAGCTATCTGTAATTAAAGTATTGGTACACGATTGAGATTCCTAGGTCTGCTGACATAATTTTAGCATGACCAAATCCTCAAAACATTTGTTTTCTTATAGAATTCAACTCCACAGATACTTACTGAATACTTGCTATGTGCCAAGTTCTTTGCTAACAAAGCCTGGGGTTGAGGACGTAGGGATCGAGGAGAGGACACATCCAGTTTGGGAGATTAGGTAAGACTTCCTGGAGGAGACAGCATTTAAAATCTTGAATAACAGCTTGGCCAACAGTTCTCAAAGTGTGGTACCTGCACCAGCAGTATATATCACACTTGTTAAACATGCAAATTCTAACAGAAAAAGAAAAATGAAGGAAAAATTGTAAAATCTTGGACATTCGCCTTACCAAATCAGAAACCCTGGAGATAGGGAGCCCAGAAATCTTTAATAAGCCATTCAGGTGATTGTAAAATGCACAATAATGTTTTGAGACCCACCAAGCTCTTCAGATAGGAAATGATAAGCAAGATAAGCTTCCCTCCTCTGAGGGTCTTGCTCATCACTACATTCCTCTCTGATCCCTGACCCCATCATCCTCCAGTCACTTCTACCTGATTTTATTCCCATGTGTTTTTCTAGGCCCCTTCATGTTTTTCCCAACCTTTTACCTCCTCACATCCATTCCCTGGTCTCCCTGTCTATCCCTCCTAATTTTCCTTGGCTCATCTGTAATCTCCACCTGCAATTTACCACTTTGCCTTTACATAGGATTGCCAAGTAACTCCCATACACATTTCTGCCTCTTCTTAAATCTGTTACCAAGTAACAGTCTTCCTTACTGATCTTTCCTTATTTTCTTCCCTGTATCACCAGTGTGTTTTGATAGTGGCACATTATAAAGTAGGTAATTTATGCACTGTATATCACTTTTCATTTTTTATAACATTGACATGTTATTTTCCATGGGCTCTTTGTTTCTCAAACCAGAGTAGGATCTGTTTGTGTTCTGTTTGTTGCAGGTGATAAAGCCAGGCCTAAGAATGAAGAGTTGCCCCAGCAGGCAGATAAACCCAAAGACATGGAATTACTTGGGACCATGAATGACCAACTTAACAAAGACATTCCCCAGCATCCTGAATCCAAGTATTCTACTGAAAGTGAGGGCAGATTAGAGTGGCAACAGAAAGGGGGACGACGCTATAAATGTGATGACTGTGGAAAAAGTTTCAGTCACAGCTCAGACCTTAGTAAACACAGGAGAACTCACACTGGAGAGAAGCCCTATAAATGCAATGAATGTGGAAAAGCCTTCATTCAATGGTCACATCTCATTGGCCATCATAGAGTACATACTGGAGTGAAACCCTACAAATGTAAAGAGTGTGGGAAGGATTTCAGTGGGCGCACAGGTCTTATTCAGCATCAGAGAATCCACACAGGTGAAAAACCCTATGAATGTGAGGAGTGTGGGAGGCCCTTCCGTGTAAGTTCGGCCCTGATTAGACATCAAAGGATTCATATAACAAATAAGCTCTGCTAATACCGAGGAAGTAGGATGAATTCTTGAGACACTCAGGCCTAATAATTATCAGAGAATCTACCTTAGAGACCTAATTTGGGCAAAGTTTCAATCATTATTAAAAACTTCTCTGGCACCAGAGAATTGAGTAAAATTTCCTTTTATTTCTAAGCTAGTTCAGTTTCTTGGGAAACTGAATTTTTTCAGAAAGCCTAGTCCACTGACAAAACTGCTTTCTTACAGCCCAAGATAACTGTTTCCTGGGAGGAGTGATCTACATCCTGGTTCTGGCTCATTTTTACTTGACCGACGATTCTGCCTATGACTTTAGGCAAGATCCTCTAATTTTTCTCTGCCTTCATTTCCCCTTCTATAAAATGCAGATGTTATAATAGAGAATGTTGGTTAAAATAGATGAAACTGCTTTTGAAATTAAGAGCTAACACAGTACTATTTATCTTCCATCATTACTTATAAAATGGCCTAATTGTTTCTATTTTATCTTAAAGTAGGAGGATAATCATTGCGTGGAATGTTTTTGTTTGCCAATGTCAAAAGAGTAAACTATCCAAAATGACATGCTGAAGAGGGCCTCCCCTGGTGGTGCAGCGGTTGAGTGTTGGGCTGCGAGGCTGCCCGCAGCCTATGCAGCGCTGGTTTATTCCCGGCTGCTGGCGAGAGTCCCACCAAAAAAAAAAAAAAAGATGCTGAGGAAAAATAAAGTGGAAAGGAAAACCGTAAGTGATCATTAGAAACTGCTGGAAAGGGAGATAATAAAGTGTGTTAAGGATCTGTACCTGAAGATAAATCTCTTCTAAGTCTGGTCATTGTAAACTAAAGTAGATTGGTCTAGAACTGCACTATCCAGAATGGCTGTCAGTACCGACACATGGCTGTATCAATTTATACTTACACTAACTCAAATAAAATGAAAAATTCTGTTCCTTCAAGACATTAGCCACACTTCAAGACTTCAAGTGCTCAATAGCCATATATGCTAGTAGCTATGTATTAGAAAGCACAAACATAGGCCATTTTTATCACTGCAGAAAATCTAAAGGCCACTACTGTCTAAATTGATCACACTCTCCAGCTTTGATAGTTCAATTTACTTTTAAAGTCTTTACATCACTGATCCAAATGCTTAAAATTCCAAGTTTCATGTATTTGTTTTATGACATTATCTGAGGAATATTTCAAAGATCTGAAATATGAAAAGTATTAAATGTTGGTACTAGAAACATCTAACAAAAAATAGGTGCTTAGAAATGATAGCTCCTCCCAGGGCTCCTCTACCTTTAGTCTTCCCAAGAAACATTGTTTCATGAAGCAGCTGTTTACAATCTGTAAAGGGAAACTCAAGTTTCTGATCTTATGTTTCCCTGAATTTAGAGGAGCTTCTGCAATGATAAGAAAGATGACCGTGGCTATGACAAGATTAGGATTCCTAATGACAGACTGATTTACCTCTACCATCCTCTGGATAATAGAACATTATATTCAGGAAGTAGTTCCAAGTCCCCATGATATGTAAAGAAGTGCTGTCTTGGGCCTCCCCTGGTGGCGCAGTGGTTAAGCGCTGGGCTGGGAAGCTGCCCGCAGCCTTTGCAGCACCGGTTCAATCCCTGGCCACCGGCAAGGGTCCCATGAGTCGTGCAGACCTCTCCTGCCGCACCCGCTGCTCCCCGCTCTGGCTCTGGTGAATTCTCTCACACTCCCACACTTCTGACTGTACCCAGTGCTTGTATAAATAAATAAATAAATAAATAAATCTTTAAAAAAAAAAAAGAGAAGTGCTGTCTTAGAGTTGTCACCCTCAAAGCATAGTTTGCAGCACTGAGACTGAAATTAAGAGCTGGTGTTGTGCTACCTTTTTTGGGTTTGGTGTTGATTCCGAATTACCACCACAGTGCTACCCTCTAATGCTGACCAGAGAAGGAGTGAAGGGGGTGCAATAAAGTCAGGGAGGGGCAGAAAGAGACAGCTTGGAGTGATGCAGGCAAGAGAAGAAATTCCAGTGGGATCTGAGCTTAGGTAGAAATAAGGCAAAAGAAGGTCAAAGGAGATGTAAGTAGTCACTGAAGCAGAGGGCAATATCCTTATAAGTCTAGAATTCCATAGCAAAAAAGTTGAGACCACAAGCAGCTAAGAAAAGCTCCAAGTTCAGTAACAGCCACAGTGATCAGAGGGGTCAGACACAGTGATTCACAGGTTAAACACTAGTCAGAACCACGGGTTCTAGCAAAGAGCCATCCTGGAATGACAGTACCTGCTCTCAAAGAACCTGGAAGTTTCTCAAGTAATCATGTCAGAAACATGCCTGTTCTTAATATCTTCTTGGAAGGATTCTTGGGGGGGTGGACGGGACAGGTGGGGGAGACAAGAAGTTTGTAGTTTTCACAAATGAGACAGATAGTGATTATAAAAGGCAGCTGAAGAGAGTATGACAGGCAGCTCACTCAGACACATCAGGCATGATGGTGAACTGGTAACTGAATGAGAAGCAAACTGCTGTGGAAGAGGGGATTAGGTTTGTGGTACTAGTGAAGGGGGGTAGAAGTGGGTGAGGAAAACGAGAGAGGAAAGACGAATGAAGGAAAACAGTAGTAAAAAGGATCCAGGCTATTGGAAAAGGAACACATATAAGGGGTGGTGACGGAAAGAAAACAGTGTGACAAGTAATTCTAGCATTTGGCTTCCACCATACTGGAAACAGTAGGTCCTGAGATACAAGCCATACAATGGTGAACACAGCAGCAGCTCTCTGTCCCTAATGAGTTCAGCATACAGCATTTGTTATTTTTATTGAATCCTCATCCTGAGCATGCAATTATTTCTTTATAATCCAATCAAAAGCCCAAATGTGAAAATACACTAAAAAGTTTGAAATGCGTCAAAACCACCTGCTCTCCCTTAGTAGTATCATGAGGGTGTTAGACTGAGGTTCTGAAAGGACAGCTTTTGCAGTCTTGCTTCTATAGCAAGGTTTCTCAATCTTGGTTTAATTGACATTTTGGGTGAGTTCCTTTTGTGGGTGCTGTTCTCAGCACTGAGAGATATTTAGCGGTATCTCTCTAACACTAGATGCCATTACCACGCCTTAATTTTGACAAGTAAATTATTTTTTAAAGGTTTTTTTTGCATAGAAGAACTGGGGTGTAAGCCAGAGGTACGAGGGCTGAGAGATTCACCAGAAACAGAGTGGGGAGCAGAACAGGCAGATTTACTGAAATACATGGCTGAGGGAAGCAGCGTAGAGACAGGAAAGGTCTGCTGGCCAAATGTGGGTAGCTCCCTGGCTGGGGATCGACTCAGGCCTCAGAGGTGATAGCACTGAGACTTAAGCCCAGGCCACCAGGGAGGCCCAAGCAAAGTTTTCTTAAAGGGAGAAAAATCACCCCCCAATTGAGAACCACTCTCCAAGAAAATAATCCAATTTCCACAAGGGTTCCACATACACAGTATGATTATATTTAGAAATACACAATATGACCAGCACTGTTAGACCCTTTTCCTAACTGACAAAATGATCTCAGGGTACCTAGTTTATACAGCAATCCTGCTAAAATAGCAGTCTAATTTAGAAAGTCATACCTCACTTACTTTTGAGGACCAATGGAATCTGACTGCAAATGTGACCTGCATAAGGGTTTACACGGTATTTTTTAGATTTTCCTTTTCCCCTTATGCCTTACTTCTGGTGCTATCCTGTCCTTTGTTGCTTGATCTACATCTGCATTGTCTAATATAATAGCTCCTAGGTATGGGTGGCTGCTGAGCACTTGAAATGTGGCTATGAAACTAAGCAACTGAATTTTTTATTTTAATTATTTTTTTTTAATAGAGACATGTTTTATTTATTTATTTGTTTGTTTGTTTTGTTTATACATGCACTGGGTACAGTCAGAAGCACAGGAGGGCAAGAGAATTCACCAGAGCCAGAGCGGGGAGCAGAGCAGGCAGAAGGACCGAAGTACACTGCTGAGGGGAGCAGCGGGCGGCAGGAGAGGTCGGCGCGCCATGTGGGAACCTGCTCCGGTGGCCGGGGAGCGGCCGGGGATCGAACCGGTGCGGCAGAGAACGCGGGCAGCTTGGCAACCCAGCGCTCAACCGCTGCGCCACCGGGGAGGCCCTATTTTAATTAAATTTAAACCCAATACTCACAGTTCAGTTATTGGAAAAGCCTTAGGTATGTTTGGAATAATTTGGGTATGTGAATCTATTCCCATCTTTTTTTTTTAATATGAATATTACATTGTGTATACAAAGAAATTGGCACATATAGAATAAATTACTGACCTTTTTAAAAAAAAATCCAGACAGTGATTAAGGTCAATGGGAAAGCATGATGCCTTTTTATATATTGATACATTAACATGATAATTAAGTTTTTAGATTATAACTCCTTCACAGTGCTGTCCCTGTTGCTGAAAACAAATACCTTCTACTCCCCAATCCATGGGGAGTACAGCAAAGTTATCCAGAGAGGGCAAAGGTTGCATGTTTTCCTCCCCATTTTTAATTAGTGTTTTTAGTATTGGGGACTCACCACTGACTGGAAGAACTTGGGGGAAGAGCTGCATTTCTACTTCCTGCACAGGCAGCTGGAGAGTCCATACTGTACTCACTGGCATCCTCACACTTCGTAGTGTCGCTCTGTTCTTGCCCATGTTGCCATGTCATGGAGGCAGCATTCCCCTGAACTCAGAGGACAGGATCTCAGGATGAATTAGTTGACATAGACAGTTCAGCTACCACGCAAAAATATTGGGTTACTGGTTAATTATAAAAAGATTAATTCAGGAACAACCACGTGGAAGAGATGCCTAGGGCAAGGAATGAGGAAAAAGTGGAAAGGAGTTTCCATGCCCTAAGGCTTTTCTGGCAGCTGACATTCTAAACTGAAATATAAATGTCCAACCTTGGGAAGTGCTACAGACATCAGTGCCAGGCAGCGAGAATAGCTAATGCAGTCTCTACAGTAGGAATGAATCTGATGTGTTATAAGGACTGAAAAATGATGTTGAATGTTATGGACTAAGGGAATATGGCAGAGAGATGAGCAGAGGCCAAGAAGTGTGTTCTAAACATGATGGGCCATTACTGGGAGGGAATCTGGGCTGATTTTTGTTTTTAGATCATTCTAGCCCCTTAGGAGGCAAGAGTGAAAAAAGAAATGTAAGGAAACTAGTCAAGAGGCTACCACAGTCAGTAATCCACATGAGGTGGTGGTAGAATGGACCACAGATTAAAGTGGGCACGAAGAGAAATTAACACATTCAAGGTATATTTTGGACACAAAATCAGAACAAGCCGCTAAACTTTCACACAAAATGATGTTTACTATCTCAAACATATAGCCAAGTTGGTAGGTCAAAACCAGTCAACTATCAGCAATTTCATATGATTTAACAGAAACAAAAACAGAAGAATTTGGAGAGGAATGGAAAAGGAGAAAGTGCACATGGGCTTGCGAGCCTCATTAATTTGTTAAAAGGAAAATAGGTTTGTTTGTTTTGTTTTTTTGCCCTTTAAACTCTCTGTAGAGGTGCCTCCCTGGTGGCGCAAGGGGTTGGGTCACAGCACTATAAAACTATCTGCAGCCACTGCAGCACAAGTTCGATCCACAGCCAGGGAGCTGATCCATATGGCACAGCAGACCTCCTCCATCTCTTCGGCTGCTCCCCTCAGCAGTGTATTTCAGTCAATCTGCCTGTTCTGTTCCCCACTCTGTCTCTGGTGAATCCTCTCACCCCTCCGCACCTCTGGCCTGTACCCCAGTTCTTGTATGCATAAATAAATTTTTAAAATCTTAAAAAAATATATAACTCTGTAGAAGGCATCTCTGTTAAACTTTTACTTAAAGGGAAACTGCCAACAAACTTGATACAACTCAGGACACAGTTACAAGGGCCTGCCTCTGCAAACGCTCACCTCCATCTGGGTAGCATGCTTCCTAATAGGTAAAATCAGGTTATCCTCGAAAGGCAGCGGAGCCTAGAGGTTCAGAGCGGAAAGCCTGCTTCTGAGTGCTCCCTCCACAATGTCAGTTATGTGACCTTGGCCAATTTACTTTTTCTCACTGTACATCTGGTCCCCCATCTATAAAGCGGTGGTTTAATACTATCTACTTCACAAAGTGGAATTAAATAAGTGACCAAATATAAAGGGTTTAGAGCTGTGTCTGGCACACAGTAACTGCTGTGTGCGCATTATACAGCAAAATTATTAGCATTTTCGGCCTATTGGCGAGCAAGACAGTCAGCATTTTCTCTCCCTCCGAGCTGTTTAAATCAGTCAACTGGGGGCCTCCCCGGTGGCGCAGCGGTTGAGCGCTGGGTTGCGAAGCTGCCCGCGGCCTCTGCAGCGCCGGTTCGATCCCCGGCTGCTCCCGGGCCACCGGAGGAGGATCCCACATGGCGCGCAGACCTCTCCTGCCGCCCGCTGCTCCCCTCAGCAGTGTACTTCGGTCCTTCTGCCTGCTCTGCTCCCCGCTCTGGCTCTGGTGAATTCTCTCACCCTCCCGCGCTTCTGACTGTACCCAGTGCATGTATAAACAAAAGAAACAAACAAATAAATAAAAACATGCCTCTATTAAAATAAATAAATAAATAAATAAGTCAACTGGTATTTGACTTTCATTCCTTCTCTAGCTGTGTTAGGGGGAAAAGGCAGTCCCAAAGCAAATTCCATACAGGCTTTGTGGACTCCACCCCCACCCCAGGTCAAAGCCAAAGACACTGGGAACTCCAAATCCCATCACCACCAAAGGGAAGGTGGCTGGGACCTGAGGGTGGGGTTAAGCAGCCAGGTGGATACAAAAGGCAGACAAGTGGGCTTTGGGGGCTCTCTCTCTCTCCATTTTGGGGCCCTCGGCCAGCTTGCGGCGTCCGTCTAGCTCGGAGAGTGACTTTGGGGTTTCCAGGTCGTCGGATCGGGTAGGACGCATTAAAGACTTTATTTCCCTATTTTTCCCCTGAAAGCCCAGGTGGAGTCTGATGAGACCAACTTTATACCTGAAGCCTGCATCGACCAGATGCCAACGGTTCGCTCTGATCCTGTATGGAATATTTCAACAAAGCCAGCTAAAATTGCTGTTAGTTATTTCTACTCTGTGATTTTATGCAAAAATAGAAAAATGGTTTCAAAGTAGATCTAGTTTGCAAACTTTTGCTTTGCTGTTAAAAGTTTGGGATCAAGGTTGAGAAAATTTGTGTTTTTACATCAGTTGAACCATTTTAAGATTTTTTTTTCCTGAAATTTTTACATATCTGCTGACTTGTTTTGGCTAACGCCTCCAGATTTTTTTTTTGGCTTAAACTGATGAACTATTTTTTCCTGGAGTGGAGGACTTTTGCTCTCCACAATGGACAAATACCTGGAGAGACTGGTTTTCTTTCACACTGGAACCTGACAAAACGTTCATCTGAGACTGCATCCCAACCTCCATATATTTGATCTTCATCACCATGGAAATGGTGGCAAAAAGTGAAAGGGGGGAATTGTTAGGGGGAAAAGGCAGTCCCAAAGCAAATTCCATACAGGCTTTGTGGACTCCACCCCCACCCCAGGTCAAAGCCAAAGACACTGGGAACTCCAAATCCCATCACCACCAAAGGGAAGGTGGCTGGGACCTGAGGGTGGGGTTAAGCAGCCAGGTGGATACAAAAGGCAGACACGTGGGCTTTGGGGGCTCTCTCTCTCTCCATTTTGGGGCCCTCGGCCAGCTTGCGGCGTCCGTCTAGCTCGGAGAGTGACTTTGGGGTTTCCAGGTCGTCGGATCGGGTAGGACGCATTAAAGACTTTATTTCCCTATTTTTCCCCTGAGTTGTCCATTTTCCTTATTTCTTTTTCTCTTGTAAATAAACCTTTTATTAACCCTTTTGCGTGTGTCTGTAGTAGAGTATTCATAAGTCCCTTTAAAGCGCGCGGGTGAGGACCCACAGCCAGGAACCCGTTTAATATCGGGGTTGCTCTATAACAGCTGGGGACGCCAGTGTGCGCTTTAAATAACTCCGGTAACGTTAACAGTCGGCGTCCTCCTGAGGGGCTCCCCCGGCGCCCGGTCCCCCCCGCCCACGGACCGGGGACGCCAAGCCCTCGCCTTCTCTCCGACTCACCCGCCAGCCCTTCTCTCCGGCCACTGCCAGTCCCGCGCAGCTCACGCCGCAGTCCAATGGCGACTCGCTCGCACCCTGCCGGGGACGCCCGGGACCGTTAGGCGCCGGAAGTGGCCCGGAGTCGCGAGAGCTCTAGGAAAGGGGGCCGGGCTTTCCCGAGTCCGAAAGCACTCGAGTTCCCCCTGGGGAGTAGGCCCAGGATTCCCACTTGGAGGAAGAGGAGACTTAGGGGAATCCGGGAGCGCATTGATCGGCCACCGCTTAGGTGGCGGCTGGCGGCCGGGACGTTCTCGAAAAACCGACCAACCGCCAACTTGCAGAAAATTCCAGGACTCCGCGAGAGGCCCGGATGTGGCCTTGGGAACGGGCCTGGCCGCCCCGCGCCGCTTCCCATCCCGGTCCCGTCGTTGTCACCCTCAGTCTTCCGCTCCCCCGGGCGCGGGGCCGGCGGGCACAGGGCCGGGGTGACCCGAAGCTTCCCGGCCTTCGAGTGCAGGAGCCGTGGGAAGGAGCTGCGGTCTCGGGAGAGCCCCCAGGGAAACGCGGACACCCGAGACATCATCTCCCCGGAGGCGCGGCTGGGGCGGGGCCGCGGAGCGCTCGGCCGCCCTAGTCTCCCGGTCGCCGCTCGTACCCGCTGCTGCCGGGCTTACCTGGCAGGACCCTGTGCACCAGCGGCCTCACTTCAAACCTGTCTAATCCTTGAGGAGAAAGAGGGTCGGGAATGACATGGGCGAAGGGTACTGGCAGCTGCGTTCAAATTCTGGCTCCAGTACTTTGTTTTGCACCGAGGACTGTGTTCCTCAATTTTGTCAATCAGAATGGTAACAGCTCCTGTTCCAAAGGGCAGTTGTGACGATTAGTGTGAGAGTGCATAAAACTTAGACATTCCCTTCCCCCTCTGTAGCGACTTTTTATTTCTGAGTATTCCATAGTATGAATATAACATTTTTTGGTCCATTATTCTGTTGATGAACACTTGGGTTTTTCCCTATTTTGCCTATATTAATAAAATTGTTGAAAATGCCTATGTTTTCACATCTCAAATTTATCTAGGAATGAGACTGTTGGGTCATAATAGAGTTAGCACCATTTTGCACTGCTACTAGTTCAAGTTGTTTCATAGTCTCATCAGCACTTGGTTTTGTCAAACTTGTCAAGCTAATGGATGTGTAGTGGTAACTCACTGTGGTTTTAATTTCCTATGTCCCTGGTGACTAATGATGTTGAGTACCTTTTCTTGTATTTATTGGCCATTCCGATATCTTCTTTTATAAAGTGTATGTTCAAATCTCTTGCCTACTTATGTTGTCTTCTTATATTTGAGTTGTGTGTGTTCTTTATATATTCTGGATACAGTTTGTCAGAAATATATGTTGGGAAGTATTTTCCAGTCTGTAGCTTCTCTTTTCACTTTATTAATGGTGCTTCTCGTGGTTCAGAAAATTTAAATTTTGAAGAAGCAAAATATATCAATTTTATGTTATGGTTAGTGCTTCCTGAGAAATCTTTACCTACGTAACACCACTATTTAATTTCTAAACCACTTCTGTGTATAACTTTGGCTTTAAAAAATTATATTTTAATGTAAAAAAATATCAGCAGCAGAGTTTTAGCCTGTCACCATTTACCTCCAGAAACCATTCCAACCAGGAGGCAAGAGATATGAATGATATAGTGAGCAAAAGTTTGTTCACTCTATTGTTACTGTTTTGCTGTGGTAGGTGATAAAATTCTTAAAAACAAGTCAAAACTACTAAATTTGGTCCTGATGGACAAAATATTTTGGGGCTGGTGGGGACTGGACAGAAACAATAGTAGGGGCCTCCCTGGTGGTGCAAGGGGTTAAGACACAACCTATGAAGCTGACCAAAGACTCCACAGCACAAGTTTGATCCCCAGACAGGGAGCAACCCACACGGTACAGCAGACCTCTCCTGTCTCGCCAGCTGCTCCCCTCAGAAATCTCTGCCTGTTCTGTTCTCCACTCTGTCTCTGGTGACTCCTCTCACCCCCTGCACCTCTGGCCTGTACCCCCATTCTCGTATGCATAAATAATCTTTTTTTTAAAAAAAAGAAATAATAGTAGTGGCTATCAGCAGGTACAGATGAAGAGGGGCAAGTAAGCTGAAAATTGGAGGCACACCTGTGAACTCAGAACAAAACCTTATTTAGGGAAGGTGCTAAAGAAACGTGGGACCAAAACAACAACAAAAAAGACATTTTCTACAATCTCCAACCTGAAATTCTATTTAGTCTGAAAAATTTAAACTTTAATGCGATACATAGCACAGACTGGCGATACATAGAACAGACATCATTTTGTTTCCAGAACTTTGTGGTATTAAAAGTAGGGTCTACTACTGAAGCTTATGTCATAGATTTAGCATTTAAAAAGTTAATCTGCAAAGCAGATTTTGGAAGAGATTGTGATTCATTAAGAAAGAGTGGAAAATACGTACAATCGAAGAGAATTTATATTCAATTACATTTTTTTCTGAGTACTTAATAGTAGGTCGCATAAGGGATTTCAAAAAGTATGAACCATGATAAGGTAGCTTTTAACAGACCTGTCCCTTCGACCCCGGGTAACTCTTCCTGCCCGCTTGTGCCTGTGCAAGCATCTTCTTTCCTTTTTCAATATAATAAACCTGCCCTTTTGGATATAAAAAAAAATTGTTAACATTGATTAGTACGAATTCCTCAATCACTTGGCCGTCTGTGGGAGGGCTGGGCATACAGTTAAGACGAGAGAACCCTGGCGTTCTGGGCACCGACCAAAGGCGAATCCAGAATATTCACATCCTAAGAATCCTTGCAGTTCGGAGGCGCCCTCTTCCATCGCTTTCCCAGCTTCTCCTGCTCCCAGCCCGGGTCTCCGCGGGCGCGGGGATCGGCCCCGGGGGACCGCTGCCCTCCGCTGAGGCGCTCTCAGGGGCCGAGGGGACGCGAAGTCTCGGGGCGCCAGCCGAGCTCCGCGACCCGCCACCCGCGGCGCGGCGACAGCGGGAGGGGGCGTGGCGGCCGGGGTCCCAGCCGCCGGCCGACCATAGAGCTCCCAGACCTCCAGGATTCCTAGAGCGCTTCCGGAAGTGCCTTTGGGGCAAGATGCGAGGTGGACGGGCTGCACCTCCGCGGCTTTGGAACTTAGGGGCTGGAGGGACCTTCTCGGTGCTGCCTCTGCTCTTGCTCTCCCCTCCCGACCTCCCGCTCGGCCCGCGCTTCGTAGCCTCCTTCCCCACCCGGTGCCGCCCGCGCAACTCGTGGTGAGTACGCTGCGGGGTCCCGGCGGGAGGACGAGCGCTTTGTGGCCGGAGCAGGCCGCGGCTGAGGACGGGCCCGAGGGGCCGAGGTCGGCGCCCCGCGTGATCCGCGCGTCCGAGGCCGGGTGTAGTTTCGGGTGAGGCCGAGTCCGCGTGCCCCAACTTTTTCCCATGGGGTTCGCTTTCTTTGCTAATCGTTTTGTGATGTTTGCAGTCGATCGTGTTTGTCTTTTTTTCTTATTTTGCCAGAACTTGTTATTTCCCTTTTTTATTTTATTATCCCATGTTTAAAAAAGAGTTCTTAATTATCCCAGTTAAGTTTATTGAGATAATGTTGGTTTACAACACTCTGTTTAAGGGGTTATAGGATCAGATCTCTACAACTGTATGTTTTCACGCCTTGCCCACCACCGAGCACTAATCCTCGCTCCACTGAGCCCCCTTATTCCGCCATTCCCACCCCGCCACCCTCTCCTTCTGGTGATCTTATTTGTCTTTTAAATAAAAAAGGAAACAACCCCCAGGTTAACTTGTAACTGTATCCGCTGAGTTGTTTTTACTTAGCAATTTTGCATTTCCATCATAATAAAATGCCCACTTTTAAAAGGGATATATTTAGCTTTTACAACTCCAATTATCCATGAAAACCTACTTTTGTTCTTAAGTTATTCCGCTTTTTGTAGCCCATTCAGAAAATGATGGTGTGTTGACTGCATCTTTGTACAAAAGAAATATTTTTAACAACTTCAGGGCAATCTATTGAATCAACCTTGTTCAAAGTGTGTATACTTTACTTCTTTTATTAAAGCTCGGTGAAGTAAAAACTTCAAGACTGCTCAAAAGCAGCCCCATTTCCCAAACTTAGGTCAGTCTTAAGTAATTTTTGTCATGCAACATTCAGATTGCCCCCTCACCTCTAAAAACACATTTATACTGTTTGATTAGTTATGTATATTTTTTGCAGTAATCATTGTTCTAGCAAATGCATACATACTTTGAATTTCTATTGTGATTAAGGGTAAAAGTGGTTGATGTGAAAGCATTCAGCTTAAGCAATTCGAGATAACTAAAGCATTTGCTTTACCTACTTTTTCTGAATGTTAAAAAGCCTGGGAAATCTCTTGTTTTGCTGTGTCTTTAGTTTAAAAATCATGTATTAAAAAAAAAAGTAAAAATCCTGAATTAGACTTAGTCTAAAGGAAGAAAACATTCTTCATCTGTTGAAAAGTAATGCTGTTAAAAATTGAGTTTTACTCTTAGTTCACAGGATTTGCATTTGAGGTTGGAAGCAGCTTTAAAGATGTGACTACTTTAACTTTCTAAATCAATAAACTTGAATTGGGTGTGAGGAACAATAATGTAATATGATTTCCTTCTGAATTCCTGTCTTTTCCATCTCTGGATGCTATGTCTGTGGTTTTATTTTGATGTTGGTGTCTCTTGCTGCCTGCTTTTGAATTTGCCCTTCTCCACTCTCCACAGTGCTGCCTTCATTTTTGTTTTTCTCCAATCCATTGTCTACAATGCTGCCATGCAGCTTGTAATGTAATTTCCCTGCTTAAAAAGAGATACAATGAAAAAAAATCACTGACACAAAGAAACATGTCCAAGAAGGCTATGACTTTGGGAAGACTACACAATGTGATAGGTCCTGTATTTGGATCATGTAAGAAATACTTTGACAAAAACGTGCATTTTAATTTGCTGGATGGGGAGAGGGTCGTGTATAGGAGGTCAGGTTGCACAGAGAAGATCTCATGAAAAAAGTAATAGGTAAACCAAGACTTAAGTGAGAATTGAATGGTTTCATCTAGATCAGGATTTAACACTTTAGGCCATACGATTCTTGGTTGTGGGGAGCTAGGTATATGTCATGGGATGTTTAGTGGCTTCTCTGGCCTCTAACCACTAGATTCCACTAGCATTTGTTCTTTTTTTTTTTTTTTTTTTTAAGATTTATTTATTTATTTATACAAGCACTGGGTACAGTCAGAAGCGCGGGAGGGTGAGAGAATACACCAGAGCCAGAGGGGAGAGCAGAACAGGCAGACCAATGAAATACACTGCTGAGGGGAGCAGGCAGCAGGCAGCAGGAGAGGTCTGTGCACCATGTGGGACCCTAACCTGGCGGTTGAGGATCGGTTGGGGATTGAACCAGCGCTGTAGAGGCTGCGGGCAGCTTCACAACCCAGTGCTCAACCGCTGCACCACCGGGGAGGCCCAGCATTTATGTTCTTGATGTATTATGCTAAGCTAAGGCTCCGTGCTATATGATTTTACTTATAAGACATTCTGGAAGGTGACTAATGTGTAGGTTTATGTGTAGGACTAGACTCTTGGATTGCAGTTATTAATAGAGCATCCATCTCTGGAGACGTAGGATAAAGAGGCTTCTAGATCTTGAAGCTTGAGACAGGAGGGAAGAGGGCAATCACAGAGCAAATAATAATAAATGGATAAGGGGGTTAAGTGTAAAAGTATTAGAATAACTCTTGACAATACCTTGAGCTAGTTTATATGGAAATTAGTCTCATGTGTTGAGAAAGACAAGATGAGAGCCAGAAGTGTATAGAAGCAGCAGTACAACTGGAGGAGCAAACTCTTAAGGGGTTACATTAGCAGCACTGAGCCCTGATGAGTTTAAACACAGAATTTCAGTTAGAACCAGTCTACATGATTTCTTGACCTTGATCAGCCATGATGTTCCACAACCCCAAGCAGAGAAAGTAGAAGGGGTTATTTCCCACGTGGGACCCCTAAGAGAAAACTACAGCTAAACATTTAATTTTTAAAAAGTATGAATTTCTGTTCTCAAAATGTGCTGTTAAAAACAATCATTTATCTCATAAGGAATTTGTATCCAAGGGCCTCCCTGGTGGCACTAGGGGTTAAGACGCAACCTATGAAACTGTCCACAGCCACTGCAGCACGAGTTTGATACCCCGCCGGCCAGGGAGCAACGCACATGGTGCAGCAGACCTCTCCTGACTCGCCTGCTGCTCCCCTCAGCAGTGTATTTCAGTCAGTCTGCCTGTTCTGTTCCCCACTCTGTCTCTGGTGAATCCTCTCACCCCCCCTCCCACACACACACCTCTGGCCTGTACCCCAGTTCTTGTATGCGTAAATAAATAAATCTTTTTTAAAAATTTGTACCCAAAATATATAAAGAAATCTCAAAACTTAATAAGAAATCATGGCAGAAGGTCATGGATGTGTAAGGAGTTATGCTGGAGTGATCACATAAATGACGGAGAAGTTCATGTTGCGATAGGGAGCTCATTAAATACCTTAGTGAGCGCCTATGACCTTTGACTTAGCACTGATTGTCATTTTCTCTTCTCCAAGAAGTACCTTTAGAGAAGAGGTCCTTGGAAGGTTCTTTACTTAAGAAGATAAAGAAGGTGGTAGAAACAAGCCTCCTGAGCTTTTCTAACGCTAAATGGCTGCAGAATCAAGCAAGTCCTTAGCCCCATCCCCACCAGACCAGTCTCCCGAAGAGGACCTTGTCATCGTCAAGGTAGAGGAAGATCATGGCTGGGAGCAGGAATCTAGTGTGCATGAAAACAACCCTCCTGGCCAAGAGCTGTTCCGCCTGCGCTTCAGGAAGTTATGCTACCAGGAGACGCTGGGCCCTCGAGAGGCTCTGATCCAACTCCGCGCACTTTGCCACCAGTGGCTCAGGCCAGATCTGAACACCAAGGAGCAGATCCTGGAGCTGCTGGTGCTGGAGCAGTTCCTGACCATCCTGCCCGAGGAGCTGCAGACTCTGGTTAAGGAACATCAGCTAGAGAACGGAGAGGAGGTGGTGACCCTGTTGGAGGATTTGGAAAGGCAGATTGATATCCTGGGACGGCCAGTAAGTAGCTGTGCTAAAACTGGGGGCCCTGGAAGTTGGTGGAAGGATCTTGGCACCCCAGTGCAGGAATCAGAGCTGAGCCTCAGGATCTGTAATGTGAGGCTCAAAATGGCTAAAGTCTAGTCTGACTTGTAATTGTAGAGTTCTTGTTTTTGTAAAGGAGATACAGCAGTACGTCCTTACTTGATGTCACCGATAGAGTCTTGGAAACTGACTGTAAGTGAATAGTGTATACTGAAACTAGATCCCCAAAGTCATTTCATTTAACGTAGGTTGATAATTGTTTTTTTCCCCTCACCAGCATTCTAACAAAAGGATATTTATTCAAGACCTGCTGTAAAGTTGTCTTTAATTCTCATAATGTCTCAATACCTGTAGTAGTCTACCATTTTGCCAGATGGGAAATTAATGCGTAGGAAGCTTAAATTACTTTTTTCAGAGATATACCAGTCACTGAGGACTGAGACCAGAATTTATGTTTCCTCGTTCCTCATTGGAAGTCTTCTGCTGAACACTACTGCTTTAAGTGTTTGTCATTTTTCTTCCCCTGCCTTAGAATGTATAATATTGGTGATTCGTGCAGTGAGGAGAACATCAGATGAAATCTTCTGCACAGAAATGATCCCCTTATGTGCTAATCAGAATGTCCTTTAATTGCCCCTGAGAAGTAAATGAGATTCTGCTTTCTTCCTCCCCCAAACCTGCATGCCTGTGGACGTGCTTTTGGCCCTCTTGTGCTGTTCATGTCTCAAAGGACTTCCTTGTAACTCCACTGTCCCCTTGTTACCAGGTTCCAGCTCGTGCGCATGGACACAGGGTACTCTGGGAGGAGGTGGCGCGTTCAGAATCTGCCTCCGAACCCCCAAATACTCAGCTCCAACCCGTGGCGACCCAGCACAAATCACCAGTGCTCCAAGGGCCGCAAGAGAGAGGTGAGGGTCAGGTATCATCACTGAGGAGGTGGGAAGTAGAAAGAAAGAGAGTATATTTCTGGAGAACCAAGGACTAGGGTCATTGTTCAGAGACCTGTCCTAAGATCTGGGTTTAAGTGTTTATCTCAGCTTCAGATACAGCCTGTTGGCCCATGATAAGCTCATGGACAAATTAAAGCACTTGGAGATTTTTATGTATTCACTCTTTTCTATTACAATGATTTTACAACATAGTTTTTTTTTTTTTTTTTTAAGTTTTGCTGGTGACATCATGCTTCTTTATTTGTAAACATTTCAGTTTGTATTTCCTCAAACACGAGCGTTTTCTAATTAACCACAATCACTTTGTCACAGTCTTCTGCACTGTGATGTCCTTATTTTGCCAGTAATGTTCTTTCTGGCCCCCAAGTCCTATCCAGGATCATGCTTTGCAGCTAGTAGTCATGTCTCTTCAATGTCCTTTAATTTGGAATAGTTTCTCAGCCTTTCTTTGTCTTTCAGATGGTCTTGACATTTTTGAAGAGTGCATGTCAGTTATTTTGTAACTTAGGTCTATGGGATATCTCCTCATACTTAGTTAGGTTCAGGGTATGTATATTGGTCAGGAACACCCTAGAAGTGATGAGGTGGCCTTCTTGGGGATACAACAGGAATTTGTCCTGTTATTGGTGGTGTTACTTTTCAATGACTTAGCTAAGATTATCTTGCTAGGTTACTTTTGTAAAGTTGTTATCTTTCCGCTGGTAAATAATAAGTTCTGTGCAAATATACTGGTCCTCATTAACCTTTTGTTGCTAAAACACTAATTAGTTGCTAAAATACTAATTGTAGTATTTATTGATGCTTGACTGAATCAGGAAGATAGATGATAATGTTGATGTGTTTTTTGTTTGTTTGTGTAGAAGAACTGGGGTGCAGGCCAGAAGTGTGGGGGGGTGGGAGGATTCACCAGAGACGGACTGGGGAGCAGAACACATATATTTACTGAAATATACTGCCAAGGGGAACAGCAGGCAAGACAGGAGAGGTCTGCTGCACCATGTGGGTCAGCTCCCTGGCTAGGGATCAAACTCAGGCTGTAGTGGTAATATGCTGACACTTAACCCTTAGGCCACCAGGAAGGTCCTGTTGATGATTTTCTGTCATTCCTCCTGCATGTATTTATCTATTGTGATGGAGTGTGTTCCCTTTTCCCTATTAAAAAAAAAAATCACCATGGACTCATGAATTCTTTTCATGAACATTACTATCTTTATTTTTGATATTTACATGGTCTCAGATTTAGCCAGAAGAGGCTCCTTCAGTGTGACTCCTGTGTCCTTTTGACATTTCCTCATCACTGTTTAAGAATTTACCTACTTTCTTGCCAAACAAGATTCTCTAGTTTCATCTCATACTTGTCTTGCATTTTGCATTTTTTTCATTTATGTGGTTTGTAGCAGTTTATGTAAATGGATTTTGATTATTTCTAAAGCAGCAGCACAAAAGTATTTTTAATTAATAATGTAGTTCTTTTTGAAGGTTCTAAAGCCTTTTGCTTAAGACACAGTAACCTGTGTTGATTTTGGCAATGCACTGTCTGCTATCTGTAGGAAAGAGATACTGGACGTCATGGTAGACATTTGAGAAAGGTAATAATAGCATTAACCGAGATAGACTGGTTTGCAGTTTTGTTGCTAAGAATTCAGGACCAAATGACATGCTTACACCAGCACAAGGATAGAGCATAGCTTAGGTGGTAGAGTAGAAAATGATTCCTGGTAGGAAAGCAGTACCCTTTATACATTTGACATGTATCTTCAGGCCAAGTAGGATGTCAGAGTGCAGTTATTTTGTGGGGCAACCATAGGTGGATCCGGAGCCCCAAAAGCATTTCATCTGCAAGTTCTCTGGCATGCAAATCTGCTGAAATACACGTTGTTTTGGAATGGGCTGGTGCAGGCTCCATCCAGGGCAGGGCTGGTCTCATTCATAGCTCCTTTCTCCTCTCTCAGCCATATCTACTTCTCAGAGTCCTACCCCTTCCCAGAAAAGAAGTTCTGGAGACCAGGAGATGACAGCTACACTTCTCACAGCAGGGTTCCAGGTGAGTTGTGCTCTCATGAAATTGCCTAGCTTTGTTTAGCAGTGTTGGAGGCATCTGCCCCAGGCCTCACCTATCTATAGTCATAGTCCCCTAAGAACTTTCCCGGTGATTCTTGTGTAGAGACAGATTGAGCCTTGATTTCCCCCCAGTATTTGTGGTGTATTCCCTCTTCCTCCCAGCTGTTCAGACCCCTTTACACTGTATGTTTCTACCTCTTGATCCTCTTCAACTCTGGTGGATCTCACTTGACACTCTGGGTTTGAGCTGTGGAACAATCCCAGTCCCCAGATGAAGATCTTGTCTTGTTTCAGACTTTGGAGAAGATAGAAGACATGGCTGTGTCCCTAATTCGAGAGGAGTGGCTTCTTGATCCATCACAGAAAGATGTGAATAGAGACAATCGACCAGAGAATTACAGAAATATGTTCTCCCTGGGTAAGAAAAGTGCTGGTTGAGGATTTTTGTTTTCTGTGTGTATAGTAGCTGTGAATTTTCTGAAAGACGGTTTAAACCCAGGATCCAGCAGAAAGACACAGTGTTGAGATTTCCTGGGGTCTCCACATGAAACCTGTTTTCCAATCTGGGTATCTTACAATTTGTAACAGGGTATTAGTTTGTTTCCCACTTGCAAAGAGAAATCTTTCTAGTGCTCTAGTTCATATGTTTCTTTTGCTCTGAGTTCTTATAAGGTCTTTACATTTCTTCACACTGGCCTATTGTGCAACCCCACTGGCCTATTTTTCACCCCCTTTAATGACTATTTGGGGCCATTTCCTATTTCTGTCCCATTCCCCAGACCTTTTCCTAGTTCACATTCCCCCATACCCAACCTTTCACTTCTCCTCAGTTGATCCCATCCCTACTTTAGCCTCCCTCCTGGTAGCCCTCTGCTTTCATAGCACTTCTTCCCCACTTACCCTGGGGTACTTCACTTGATCTTGCTCATATCTCCCTGTATTATAAAGGCCAAAGGGAAGGTTTGCATTTGCTTGTAGCAGTACACCTGTTTCCCTTTGTCTTCAGTTCCCTTTCCCCTTGTCTTCAGTTCCTTCCTCCTAGCACAAAGAATAGGAATTGACAGTGACTTGGTGTTTATTTGTCACATTTTGATTTCAGGTGGTGAGACCAGGAATGAGAACAGGGAAATAGCTTCAAAACAGGTAATATCTGCTGGAACGCAACAACACGGAGAGACAGCTACCAAGTGCAACGGGGATGTTATCGGGGGTCTTGAGCACGGAGAAGCCCGAGACCTTCTGGGCAGATTAGAGAGGCAGCGGGGAAATCCTACCCAAGAGAGACGACATAAATGTGATGAATGTGGGAAGAGCTTTGCTCAGAGCTCAGGCCTTGTTCGCCACTGGAGAATCCACACTGGGGAGAAACCCTATCAGTGTAATGTGTGCGGTAAAGCCTTCAGTTACAGGTCAGCCCTTCTTTCCCATCAGGATATCCACAACAAAGTAAAACGCTATCACTGTAAGGAGTGTGGGAAAGCCTTCAGTCAAAACACAGGCCTGATCCTGCACCAGAGAATCCATACTGGGGAGAAGCCGTATCAGTGCAATCAGTGTGGGAAGGCTTTCAGTCAGAGTGCAGGCCTGATTCTGCACCAGAGAATCCACAGTGGGGAGAGACCCTATGAATGTAATGAGTGTGGGAAAGCTTTCAGTCATAGCTCACACCTCATTGGACATCAGAGAATCCACACTGGGGAAAAGCCCTATGAGTGTGATGAGTGTGGGAAAACCTTCAGGCGGAGCTCACATCTTATTGGTCATCAGAGAAGCCACACTGGGGAGAAACCCTACAAATGCAATGAGTGTGGGAGGGCCTTCAGTCAGAAGTCAGGCCTTATTGAACATCAGAGAATCCACACTGGAGAAAGACCCTACAAATGTAAAGAATGTGGGAAAGCTTTCAATGGAAACACTGGCCTCATTCAGCATCTGAGAATTCATACAGGGGAGAAGCCCTATCAATGTAACGAGTGTGGGAAAGCCTTTATTCAGAGGTCAAGTCTCATTCGCCATCAGAGAATCCACAGTGGAGAAAAATCTGAGTCCATAGGGGTTTAGGGAAAGACTTTGGTTGTAACTCGGGCATTATTTAACATCAGAGAAATCACATGCTAGTGAGAATTCTTCCAGTTAGTAGGAAGGCAGAAGGTTCTTTGTTTGTGACCTCGTGTAGTGTGAGAACTGACTGGTGGCAAAGTTAGAGTAGCTCTTCAGTAGTTGGGGCCCAGTGCCTTGATGCAGGTTGATGAGTTAGTCTTGGGAGGTGTCTGAAGGAGTGGCGCTCTCCATGGCCTGCTGTATCCTTTAGAAACTTCAGGTAGCATTAACGCAAGTTGCTTGTTGTGGCTCGAGGCACCTAACTTTGTCTTTTGGGTGAGTAGCTGTAGGTCTGACAGCAGCTACTTCTAGTTCCTCTGCTTCTCCCCCATTTCCCATGATCCCTTCTCCCACTGTTCCTGGAGGCGCACTTAATGCTCCTCATGTGACCCGAGAAGAGAAGCTGCTTTAGAGTTGGAAACAACCTCTGTGTGAGACTTAATTTGTATTTAGCTCTCTAAGATCCTAGTTTTAGGGAAATTTTTATGACACTTAACAAATTCGTGCTTAAGTGTGCCATTTTATTTTATCCTCCTGTTCCGTTTAGTCAGGGGAAATCCATATTCCCACGCAACTCCGAATGCCATATTCTTAACAGCATTTCTTCATCTGTCATCTTCACTGGCCCCGCTGAGTTGTGGAGCATCCTAGGTGTCCTCCACTCCCAGCCCCAGTACCTGTGTCAGCAAAGGAAGTGGATGGTTGTGGGAAGGATGCAGAGAAAGAGGTGAGTGGAGACCCAGCCCGGCGCTGTCAAGCTTGGATGGTGATACCCTTTGGTGACTTCTGGCTCTCCTTTCCCCCTCCTGCTGTTCACTGTGGCACAGTAGATGTTTACACTGCCTTACTTATGGCATCACATGGGAGAAAGAGGAGACTGAGGTGCTTAAAAAGACATGAAAATCCTTATAAAAAAAAGTACACTTTTCCTTTTTGACCTATTTTAGAACCCCACTCCCCCTCCCTCAGGTTCCTATCATTCTGTACAAACCCCCTGCCCTACAGCGCCTGTCAGTCTTATTACCCTGAACCCACCTTACATGGTCTCAGCACCTCATCATTCTCCATCTGTTTCTTGCAATTAGCTTGTGTGGCTTTTAATCCACAGTGGTAATCTGTTGACCAACGCACAGTCTTTATTCTCCTGAGTTCTGGTGCCCTGCAGTGATCCAGCAAAGACACAGTACAAAACGTAACTGTCACCAGGCATTGTGCCTCAATTTTGAGGCCTGCAGTATACTGAGGTATTGTTGGGAGCCATGAGTGTGGTCTAGAGTGACACCAGATCTGACGTACCCACAGTGGGTTGTCCCTTCAGTCGAGCTGTCTAGTTAGCTGGTCGTGCTAGCACTCCGGTAGCCACCTTCTTCCGAGGAGCTGGTCACTCCCAGAATTGCATTTAATAAACCATGCGTGAGAACTCTTCCTACTCTAGAGTCACATCTCATTTTTGACCATTTGGCTTATTCAACACACTGTTGACTCTTTCCAAAGTCTCTTTCTAAATTGCGATCCATTCCATTAATTCTATCCAGAAGAATATGACAGATGTTTTAATGAAAAGTCCAAGAGAAGCTGCACAACTTTACACTCTGACTCTCCTAAGAGGGGATACCACTTACTCATTATTGTATGGTTGATTTTATGAAAATCAGTGGGGAAAAAAAAATCTTACATCTTATAGGCGCACCTTTTGGATCATGAATTTCTTCTCTATCTTCCTTTGACCCACCTGAACCATTAATACCACCAAGGTAATCTACATATGTTTCATCAAGCCATTGGTATACAGCTGTCATTTATCCTGGCGACCTTGGCTAACTTTTTTTTAAAATGTTCTTTTCATTATCCTTTTTTTTTCCTCTCTCCCTTCCCTTCCTTTCTCTGTCCTTTCCTCTTTTCCAAAAAATTACTTTCCCTGATTACTTGTACTTGAAATTTCCAGAAACAAGTAAATCTGGTTGCCTCTGGATTCTTGTTCTAGATCCTTGCTCTCTGCTTCAGTTGTGCCTTACCCTCTGTAAGATGCTCATTCTGCCTGAGGCCAGTGCTACTATGTGTACAGATATTACATAGGATGGTACACTGTCAGGGAGTGTGTGTGTGTGTGTACATGCACACACATTGCTCTCACATAGTTAAGAGGAACGCTTCTATTCCAACTAAAGCTCTTTAAGCAGAGCTATGTATTGAAATGACCGTAGGTGTATCAGTTAACATTACCTAGAATATTGTGTGGCCAGGTTACTCAGAATTACTAAGCATCTGGCAGAAATTTAAAAAAAAAATGACCTAAAAAAAGATGATACATATACACAGCTATTAAAAAAAGTTTTGCCATTTGCAACATGGGCCTAGAGAGTATTAAGCTTAGGGAAATAAGTAAGATGGAGAAAGGCAAACATCTTATGAGTTCATTCATGCGGTATGTAGAGAAATCAAAAGAATCAACTGAATAAAACAAAAATAAGCTTTAAAAACAAACAGAAAGATTAGTGTTCTACTGGGATGAAGGTGAGGAAAAAGACTGACCTGAAAGCTGCCAGGCCTGATCCAGCACACCTGTACAAGTAGCTGCAGAAGGTGAGGCAGGAGGAGACAGCTCCTGTTTCTCTGGTGGCGTAAGTAGAGGCCATCCTTGGTCTCTCATTCTCTTAGCACTGGAATGTTGTTGATCCTCTGTATGACCTTGCATTGAGCTGCTATGCGTGACATGCTCCTTTTTCTTGCAGATTCTATTTTTATGCTCTGAATCTGAAATGAACTGTTCATAAATACGTTCTCATTTTAGGACCTGGCATGATAAAGTGGGTCTTTGTTGCCATCCAGCAGTCTTGGGAGAGGTGTCTTAGGTGTCAAAAGGTTTTCTCCATGGAGGATATGGTGCCTGATTCCCACACGAAACAGTTAGCTTTACTCTCGGTTCTGAGGTTCCAGATGATAACTGACATTTACTGAGCACTCACTGTGTGCCAAACCCTGTGTTAAACATTTCTCATGCATAAGATAGATAGGTCATGCCCCCTGCCTTTGAGATGAGGAAACTCGACTTAGAGACTTGACTGCATTGGCCAAGAGCACACAGCTGGTGGCAGAGCAGGGATTCTAACTCCACAGGCTGATTCTTCAGCTGGCGCTTCTGACCACTGTCCTGCCCTGCATCTAATGAACACCAGGTGTTCATTGCTACGTGACATGTTCACACATTATGTACTGCTGCTCGTAAGAGGTAGTAGGCGCAGGGATGTGCAGTAGATTGCACATCCTGTGCAGCTCTAGAAAATTGGTGCTAGTGCCATTTTGGTTTATAGTTATATCATCTTTAAATGTTAATACTTTTGATGCTGGGTAGAGTAAGAATGGTAAATTGTGCAAGTAAAACATGTTTATAAAAGAGTAACTGGGGGAATGAAGTATAACTTGCGGATTCAGCGCATTTCTCTCTCAACTGCCCCAGGGGAATAAAACTGTAGAGGGGAATGGAATGGCCATATACCCGTCAAGCAGGTGGGCAGTTAGGAGGACAAGTGAATCCACTTGTCTACTTGTCCACTTGTGGACTCACTTGTCCTCCTAACATAAATGTGAAAGTCCTTCAACCTTACTGTCCATTTCCAGCTATCCTTTCTTCCGTTGTTCATGGCTTTTCAAACGGGTCATCCATTGTTCATACAAGTCGTCCATCTCATTCATCTGCTCTCAGACTCCTCCATGCTGGCTTTTGTACATGGCCGGGCAGTGAAATGACCAGTGGATAAGCATTAAGGCCTTTTCTTAGTTCTGGCCCTTTTTGATCTATATATCATACTGTTGAATTTCCCCCACGTCTCAGGAATTTGCTTCCTCCTTAGCTTATGATGCCAAAAGGCCTTTTTGATCATGTTTTTCCAACTCCTGGCTTTTTCCTTCTTGATCTTTTTTCTCCTCACCCCTGAGAATAATTTCCAGGTCTTTATTTTATTTGCTAATTTTTTTCTGTACTAACTCCTGCTTGTCCATTTTTGATGATTTACTCTGAACCTTCTGTATTGTGTTTAATACTAGTGACTTAATGTTTCCTGTCCTGTGAGTCATTTCTCAACTTGTGGACTTTTTTCACAGGTACCTGTACAACTTGGTATTCAGAAACAGAACTCATCACTCTTCTGCTTCACCCCACACTGTCCTTTTAAATAGGTGTCATTGCTTAACTTTCTTTACCTTAATCACACTTCCTGTCCTTCACATTTCTTACCGCAGTCATGGAGTTGTCTTTAGTCCTTTTTTGCCCTCCACTCTACCTGTCCAAAATCTTGCTAAGTTGTTTCATTTCTTAGTCTTCTCTTTGAAGCTGGAGCTGTTACATTTCTGCCATCTCCTCATTACCCTCAGTGCAGATGTGCTCATCTAAGACTCCTGTTACTGTAATTCTTTCAGCTTCCTTGCTCTCAGGATCCTCATCTTGTAGGCTTTCTACACGGTCCTCCTCAAACTCCATGTTCATGGTGTCTTACCTTCACTCAAGAATACCCAGCAGATAAATGCTGTCAGAACAGTGGCTGCCCAGGTTCTCCATTACCTGCCCTTCACGCTGAATCTGCCTCAGCCTCATTACTCTCTAGCTTATTCACCTTGACTTATCACATTCAAATTTCTGGTGGTCTTTCACTGTTGTCCTAGAAGCCCTTGCCTCTGTGCCTTTCTCATGCTTTTCCTTTTGCTTCCATTGCTCTTTGACCCCAGCTTGTGTTCAAAGACTAGTTTCCTGTATATCTTCTGAGTGAGCGCTCCCTGACTCACTTCACCTCATACTGAGACCTCCGTTTTTGTGTGTGGCCTCAGCACTTTTCCTTTGAGTTTGTACTGTTGTCCACACAGTCAGTAATATGTTGTTTTGTAATTATTTTCTAGCTCTGTATTGTAGTTTCACATTTGTATTTATTTCCAAAATCAAATTGTAAGCTCCTTGAGGGCAGGAATATTAACTTTTACATTTGTATCTCTGCACCCCCCTAGTGCCTAGTTCAGTGCTGAGCACACAGTAGGCGTTTAATAAATGCTTGTTGCATTATTGTGTGGATTATTTATAGAGTTACAGAAAAATTTAAGCTGTTATCAAGGATAACCTTCTTTTTACCACTTAGTGCACAGACTGATTTCCATAGTTTGTCAGTAACTGCCTACACACCTAAGATTAAAACCCTAAAAAAACCAACTTTTTAGGAGCATGTGTCTGGAAAGTTGAGATACGAAGCTATTTGGCCAGACTTATTTATTGGTTAAGAAAGAAAAAAAAAAGGAAACAAAAATTGGTGTGTTAAAGTTACTGCAAAAAGTACTTGATAACAGACTTTTGTATCTGAGATTAAATCATTACTCCAAAGGAGTAGCTGGTGTGCTTAAATTGGCAAAATTTGGCAATGTCTGGAGACGTTTTTGGTTGTACCATCGATGGATGACTAGGATGCTACTGGCATCTAGCAGATAGAGGCTAAACATCCTGCATGGACAGGACAGACCCACAAAATGACCCAGCTCCACCAGTTTAATAGTGCTGTGCTTGAGAAACCATAGTCTAGAGATACTTAAGGTAGATTGGGACATGAAGGGATATGAAATACCACATTGAGGAAATAGCTATGCCAAGCTTAAAAGAATCCTAAATGTGTACGTGTTTATATCTTGTAGTTTGTAGTATAATAATAATTTAAAAAAGACAATCTTTGGGATTCACATTAACATCTGTCATGTTGATGGTTAACAATAAAATGGCTGATGAGTTTCTAAGGCTACTTTCAGCATCCGATTAGAATCATTACTGAGAAGGCGCAGCCGAGTGCTGTCTTTTGTTCAATTCTTGTTTGGTTACATAAAGTCAAAGAGAAAACATTGGGGACTGTCTCTTTAGCAGCCTGCCTATGACATCAAAGATTTAGCTTTGGGGATAACACATGACCCTCAGCAGTCCCGTGGACAGCCACTAGACAATAATTACCAAGGAGACCACAAGTCGGGATGTTGTCAGTTTGCCTTGTAAACACATTCCCACTTAGAAAGTTTTTAACATACCTGTTAACCCTACCTAGTAAGACATGTAGGAGAAAATGTGATTTCCTAAATTGAGACCCTTAAAAAAAACACTAGTATTTGGCAATTCAATGACATTTCCTTCAACAGGTTTAAAAAGGACCAACACCAGAGTTAGAAAATCAGTTTCGGTATGTAATATATCGAAGAAATGGCGTTGCTCCGTTGCGTTTACTGAGTCGATAAAATCCTGGATTTGGAAGTGACTTTTGTGGTCATTTTTCAACCCATTCTGTAAGTGGAGGTACAGAAAGGGCACTGGCTAACTTAATGGTACAGGTGAACAGAACCCAGGTTTCCTAAGGCTCTGTGCTTTTCTTTTTTGGCTGGTGTCCCCTCTAGCACTTGGTCTTTTGTTAATTCACATTCTGCCATGGAATAGTCATACTCGGTGCCTCCACCTGTACTGTTTTTGGAATTAGTCCTTTTATCAGCGCGTTTCTCCCAGCCCATACTGACTGGTGTCCTGAGTTCAACGCTCATAAACGGCAGTTAGGCTTTGCAGTATTGCAACCATGTTTTGGAACCCTGCTCTCCCGGGCCTGGTCTCTAGACCAAGCACGCACACTGGCTGGCAGCACTGCCCTTCAGGTCATGAAGACCAGAGCTCTTGCGGCCCAGTCAGGTTTAGGGGTCCTGTGCAACATACATTGGGGATCCTGCCGTTTCATAGACTCAGTATCTTTAAATTACAAGGTTTCAGGGTGTCCTACCTGCGTAAAAATCAGGAAGTAAAAGTTACCTTCGTAAGGGGTGAGGCTGTCTCGGCTGACCGCCGGAGATGAAGCGTCCCCAAACAGGACCGGACCCAAGCCCCTGACTGGCGGCCTCAGGCAGGGCTGGGCCCCGCCCAGCGGCTTCCGGGCTTCTGGGCCCGCCCCGGAAGTGAGCGCCGGGCTTCCCTCCACGGGGCGGGGACGTCTCTGGGTTGGCGAACTTGGATGCTTTGGGGTAGTGGTGACGCCCGGAAGCTCGAGAGGCTACTCCTCCTGGTTCTGTGCCGTGTTGTGCCCAAGGTCGACCAGTGCAGCCCCCAAGGACACACAGACAGCCGCTGCAAGAACACAAAGGAGTTTATTATGGGCTCGAGTCCGGGCTCCCGACACCCAACGATGTAACGGCAGAGGTTGAGAGCCCTGAACAAAGGGAACAGGGATCTTATATAGGGTTACAAGCAGATCTCTAAAAATTAAATCATATTGGCAAACATTCATTGGTTACACAGGTGCATTTCCTAACAACAGTGGGTGCACAGTTTCAGTTTTTGAGCTGATTGGTCACATCAAGATGCAGCTCTATTTTATGGCTAGTTTGACCCTATTAGTGGCCTGAATTGCTGGGCTCCGCTGTGGCTAGCCGACTGAGATAAGACCAGAGTGAGGTGGGGATCAACTCTGGAATGCTGTCTTTTCCCTAGACAGCAAGACCTGAAATTCTAAAATGGCAGTTACACACAAAATGACAAAGCAATGGCTAAGAATACTTATGCTTGGTTCCACATGCCGCTGCCCCTCGGAGTCATAACCCGTGTCATGCTCCCGGCCTTGAGCGAACTACCGAGCCACAGCGAACACGTGCGCCCCGGTGTCCTTGGCTTCGCAGCCCAACGGGCGCATAGCTCGCTTCCAAAGGGGGGGATTTGCGAGTGAATGGAAATGGGAACTAGGAGCTTTTAAATTTAGAAGTGGCTTCTTCCGCTTTTGCTTGTAGTGCTCGTGACATTTCTTTTCGACGGCGGAATACCCCCGCTTTTTCCGTTTGACAATAAATGATCGTCCAACCCCTTCAGCAGTCACGTTCCCATCCAGGCCGGGCCGCAGCCGCCTCCCAGCCTCCATAAGTGCCCAGGCAACGGATCCTCGAGCACCTGGTGGAACCCCGGAACCCTACGTGATCACAGCCCCTCTAGTAAATTACGTTATTTGACACTGTGCTTTTTTTCTACCATAACTCTCAGTAGTGAGTGAAAACTATTGACAGTCTTTGCTTTTTCTTTAAAATAATGTATACGGGACTTCTCAAGCTATCGCCAGCCACTGCAACATGAGTTCTATCCCCGGCCTGGGAGTTGACCCACGTGGCGCAGCAGACCTCTCCTCACCCGCTGCTCCCCTCAGCAGTGTAACTCAGATCTGCCTATTCTGCTCCCCACTCTGTCTCTGGTGAATCCTCCCCCATTCACCTCTGTCCTGCACCCCAGTTCTTGTATGCACAAGTAAATAAAAATAAATCTTTAAATAAATTAATGTTTATTTTACAGGGAAAAAAAGTGCTCTGAAAGAAGACGCCCTGGCAGGGGTATCACTGCCTGCACACTCACATATTGGAAAGTCGCATGGCAGCATTTTTGGAGGAACTAAAGTGGTTTTGTTTTACCTTTCAGGAACTTGTGTAGAGGTCAAATTTATCAACATTTTAATTATGGTCCTTGGATTTGGGCTCATGGTTAGAAATGGCTTCCTACTCTGAGATTATGAAAGACTTCTCTCACGTTTTCCTCTGGTTTCATGTATATTTACAACTTTCATTTATTTGTAAATGTACTGGTATATAGACTGAGATAGGGCTTAAACATTTTCCCACATGACTACTTATTATTCCCCAGTTATTAAAGAGTCTACTCATTTTTCCTTACTGGTTTCCTACCTTCAATATATTCTAAATTATCAGAGGCAACAGACGCCTCCAATTGCTTCTATTTCTGGACTTCCTATTCTGCACCATTTTTCTCTCACCAGACCACACTGTTGAATTGAGGCTTTACGATTCGCTATGTTTTAAATCCTTTACCCCGTGTCCCTTCGTTCACTTATTTTCAAAGTTCACTGTCCGTGTGAACTTAAGACCTACTTATCAAAAAGCTGACACTTACGTTGGAACAGTGCTCAATATGCAAAATAATCTGGGGTTTAACTAAGAGCACGATGTCCTGAGGATCCTTGTGTTAGGGGGAAAGGATGTTCTGAGCTAATCCCATACAGGCTTTGTGGACTCCACCCCCACTCCAGACCAAAGCCATCAGGACATTGGGAAAGACAAATCCTGTCACCACCAAAGGGAAGGTAGCAGGGACCTAAGGGTGGAGTTAAGCAGCCAGGGTTGGTATTAAAAAAAAACCAGGGCCTCCCCGGTGGCGCAGCGGTTGAGTGCTGGGTTGCGAGGCTGCCCGTAGCCTCTGCAGCGCCGGTTCGATCCCCGGCCACTTGGTGAGGGTCCCTGAGGGTCCCACATGGCGCGCAGACCTCTCCTGCCGCCCGCTGCTCCCCTCAGCAGTGTACTTCGGTCCTTCTGCCTGCTCTGCTCCCCGCTCTGGCTCTGGTGAGTTCTCCCACCCTCCCGCGCTTCTGACTGTGCCCAGTGCTTGTATAAATAAATAAATAAATCTTAAAAAAAAAATAAAAAAAAATAAAAAAAAACCAAACACGTGGGCCTTGGGGGGGCTCACTATGTCGCTCGCCTCCTGGCTTCAGGGCTCCTGGCTCTGGCCAGCTCTCAGAGTGCCCTTTGGGATTCCAGATTGGTGGATCGGGTAGGACGCATTTAAAACTTTGTCTCCCACTTTTCTCCCTGAGCTGTACATTTCCTCATTTGCCCTTCCCTTGTAAATAAACCTTTTATTAACCTTTCGTGTGTGCCTGCAGTAGAGTATTGGTAAGTCCTTTCAAGCGCGCAGGTGAGGACCCGGTCAGGCAACCCGTTTTGTATCTGTGCTGCCCCATAACACTTGCAGGGCGGTTCATCTGGAAAGCAAGCGGAAGGAGCGGGAACCGGGACAAATCTAGGTTCAAAGGTTACCTCTGTTAGGGTGAGTCCCCTCGCTCGTAACTTCTGGAACTTCCAGTGTGCTGAGGGGGCGAGCCGCCGCTTTCTGCACACGCCCCTCGCCCCGGCCCTCCGACCTGCCCTTCTCTTGCCGTCTCCGGGTCGTCCCCCACACGGCCCCTTCCCTCCGCTGCCCCCCTCCAGGCCCCAGCCGACTCCCCAGGTCTTAGGCGGTAGGGCTCTGACGGCCCCCCTAAGCCCTGAGGGGTCCCGGACTCAGAGGACACGTCTGCACGGGAGAGACCCTGCCCGGCGCTTCAGACAGAAGTGGGACAGACAGGGCAGGTGGAGGGCGAGGAGACCTTTCCGCCTGACACCGCATCCTCAGCTCGCCTTTGTGTTGCGTAGCTGGGGGCCACCTGCAATTTTATTGAGATGTTCTTGAAATCTCATTTTGCCACAGAGAAAACAATCAGCTGAATGCTTTACTCACCAAAGCTCCTTTTGGTGTCTATATTGCATTTTGCCCATCCTCTCCCAGCCTTTTTCTTCAGTTAGAAAGAGAAGAGCAAACACTCCTCTTCTTGATACAGCTTTGTTTTGAAGTTAAAAATGTCAGCCTAAAGGTATCTGTTGATAGCGCAGAAAGGTACTTTTTGATGTCTCTGTAGCCTTCAGATAACTTATTAAGAAAACAAACGCATCAATCAAAACTACCATGAGATACCATCTTACACCAGTGAGAATGGCACATATTAAAAAAACTAGCAACAACAAATGTTGGCGAGGATGTGGAGAAAAAGGAACTCTTCTGCACTGTTGGTGGGAGTGCAAACTGGTCCAACCACTGTGGAGAGCTGTGTGGAGATTTCTGGACCTTCTAAACATAGAGCTTCCATATGATCCAGCAATTCCACTCCTAGGTATTTACCCAAAGGACACAGAAACATCAATTCCAAAGAACACCTGCACCCCTATGTTTATAGCAGCACTGTTTACAATAGCTAAGCTTTGGAAACAGCCCAAATGCCCAAAAATAGATGACTGGATCAAGAAGATGTGGTACATATATACCATGGAATATTACTCAGCATTCAAAAAAAGATAAACACATGCAATTTGCAGCAACATGGATGGCGCTGGAAGGGATCATGCTCAGCGAAATAAGCCAGAAAGAAAAAGAAAAATACCGGATGGTCTCACTCATAGCAGGAATCTAGAGAACTTAAATAAGGGATCAGGAAAATGAATAACTATAAGAAAGTGAAAATCAAAATCAACAAAAAACTATGAACCAGAGACAGTTTTTGGGGAGTGGGGGGCGGGAGGGGAGGGATTGGGGTCAGAATGGGGGGGTTGCAAATGTATGGGGAATATAAAAATAAAATTTATTATTTAAAAAAAAAAGAAAACAAACGCATCTTTGGTAGTTGTCTGAAGACACCGTCAGCAATTTGGGGCTGTGGCAGGGAGGCGGGGGTGGGGGGGGTAGACTAGGGAAAAGAAGGTACACTGAGGCAGGAATGTGAAGGCATCTTTCCACTGGGAGCAAACTGCAGACCAAGAGGGCACTGGGACGGACTAAGGCAGGTCCATGTTTTGCTAACAGTGGCAGAGCTGATCACACCACGTCCTTCCATACGCCCAGTTCTGGACTTTGAGCGACAATTCGGCTCCATGTGACCAGTGCACATTGAGGGAGTCAGAGACAGGTGACAGAACAGCATCCCATAACAACGTGCTCCAGGGAGGGTACAGGATCCCTGTGACAACAGACCGGTGACTGATTTGTGGGGAATGGTCTGCCCCAAACTGGAGCAAGGAAATAAGTCTTAAAAAATATTTATGTTCAGGGCCTCCCCGGTGGCGCAGCGGTTGGGCGCTGGGTTGTGAGGCTGCCCGCGGCCTCTGTGGCGCCGGTTCGATCCCCGGCTGCTCCCAGGCCACTCCCCGGCCACCGGAGGAGGGTCCCACGTGGCGCGCAGACCTCTCCTGCCGCCCGCTGCTCCCCTCAGCAGTGT